GCCTAGAAAATTCAGTGCCATATAACTAGGAGGACGACAGTACAGTCACAATGAGATGCAGACTCATTAGATGACAGAGCTAATAAGATGTGATTTAGGGAAAGCAGAAATAATGATGCACATAAATTCTCTGACATTATTGAATTTTACGTTTTCTTGTAAGTCTAAGCAAGTTTATATTTTTTTCTAATTAAAGAGTTGCTGGAACTCAATTTTAAAACTATAACGCCCATGAAATAATTCAGTTATCTCTCTTCTGTTTTGTTTTTGTTTTGAGATAGGGTTTCACGATGTGCTCAGGCTAGCCCTGAACTCCTGGGCTCAAGCATTTCTCCCGCCTCAGCTTCTCAAATAGCTGGGACTACAGTGGACCGCCACTGAGCCTGCCCTTCCCTCTCCTGGGGAGGGAAGGGCTGTATTTTTCATTATAAAAATTTGGCTTTCCTAATGAGAACTTCATAAAATCCCTTTGCCAACCCTTAAAATAGAAACAACGATAAATGACCACCTACCATCTCACTGGGTTCTTCAGAGTATGAACTAAAAGTCTACACTGGAAAGTACTTCATAAATGCCAGCCAGGATGGACTTCATATACCTACATGAAACAGAACTAAGAAACCTCCTGCAATTGCTTTAAGGGGGGCGGAAGGGGGCTGAGGGGGAGACACGATGTGGACAATGTAAATATAAGTAATTGGAATTGTCACTATGAAACCCCCTCTGTATAATGAATATATCCTAATAGAAAATTTGTTTTAAAAAATGTCAGCCAGTTTAGTTTCTTGGTCCTCAGTTATTCCCTCTCACTCCCATAGTCCTCACTTCTCCCTTGTCCTGTAAATATGTTCATCTTTCGAATGTTAAGGAAAAAAAAAAAAACACTTTCTTCAAACTTGAAGTTCCTATATGCAGTCAGCTTTCCTTGCATGCCTTCAGAATTAGCTCTGCTAAGAGTGGCCTATTCTTTGACCCCTCACGAGACCCAGCCTCACACAACTACGCTGTGGCTAAGCCTCCAATGGCTCATCCAACTGGCACTGGGTAGCTCTGACTTGATTTCCCTATGGCATTTGACAGTATTTACTATCTCTTCTTGAAACTTTCCTTAGTATTCTTGAGACCACTAACCTTTTGTTGGGTTCCTTTGTGTTCAAGATCTCTCCCTGGTATTTTTACTAGCTTCTCCTATAACTCATCTCCTGCCTCCACTTCTGCTCACTACAAGTCACTTAAACACTGATAATCTACAGATTCTATTCAGGGCTACATCCCTTCTCTTTCATGTTATACTCTCTCCCTTAGTGATCTCAACCATTCCCTTGACTTTAACCACTGCCTATCCAGAGACAATTAGAAGTATCTCTCAGATGAAACTCATTCTTAAACTGTGGGTCTATTCCCTAATCCCCTTCTCTTCTATTTTTCTTCTAAGTTAAAGATGATATTCTCCAAATGACATTAAAGCATAGTCCAATCTGAGCATCCAATATGAGCCACTACTGTAGTAGAAAGCACAAAACCCAAACAAGTGAGTCATGGCCTCATTACTGAAGGGAACAATGACATGAGGGAGACTGCCAGCTACATTAATAGAATTCTCTACTTTGGTGTTTAATTCTAATTGAGGTCTACAAATTTTGAAAATTGTCTAAGTGCCTATCTCTCAAATGAAACCAGACTTACAGGTTCTTTGAAAACAGATCATGTCTGGTTTTATTCTAGGCACATAAGAGACACTCAGTAACTAATGAATGGATGGCTGCTACTAATGAATAAACATAAACTTGTATTTCCATAAGTCGTTGAAGGAAAATGTTTTTGCCTTTAATCAAACTTTTAACTAGAGAACTGGCTTAACTAAAAAAAATATGGACACATCACTTCTCCAGTCTCAGTAACATCTTGGTAAAAGCAATATTCTACTATACGACCTAGTTAACAGAGTTACACTAGTTCTGAGTTTCTATATCCTATAAAATAATTTGAGAATTTCTTTATGTGGCTACTTCAATTTTTACAGGTATTTGTATCATCTCCCAAATTAGTTTATTGATGAACTTAATTAAAATGTTATTCATCATTCCTCTTTGTCTTTGATCAATAGAGGCACTAAACCAAATTAGACCTAATATGAATCTCAGTCTCAACCTTCTAATGCCCATCCCCTCTAGGCAACCCTTCAATTATACAGTTCATGCAAATCAATGATAATTGTATTTTCTTAACAAGATTATCATTAGAATCTCTCAAACCAAATAATATTCCTTCTTGTCCTGACCTTTAAAAAAAAAAGTATAAAAGAAAAGGCATTGCATTTGGAGAGCTGAAAGAGACAATTTAATATGCTCAAAAGGCAGATACAACACAAGGTGACTTTGTAGAACAGGAAGTGTCAAGGTATGCATATCACTGCAACCCTATGTACAGATGTCTCTGAAATGGCAATAAAATGAGAAACCGATTGGTTTAATAACAACAGAAAAGCAACATCAGTTGGCACATATTACATGTAGCATCTATCCCTGGTTGCCTAGCAACCAGTCATGAGTGAACTCCACAGAGAATAAAGGTTCTAAATGAATGTACAGTTTGCGGAAGCTTCAAGGACTCAATGTGTCAGTAGTTAATATAAAGTCTAGTTGACAACTACCATATGGAGAAAGGAGAATCCACCATTACAGCACACAACTATTAACCAGAGGTACAATGTGAATTTTCAGATTTGTATCTTTTAAACACTGGATTTTTGAGGAGGAAAATGTTTGATAGTATGAATTATAAATATAACTTTATTCAGGAAAAAAACAAACCATCACTGATACAATTTACATTTAATTTAACAAAACCCATAATAAATACCTACTATGTACCAAACATTGTTCCAGGTACTGGAAATATTAATGTGAAAAATGACTTTGCAAGCTCTCCAGAAGCTCGTGTTGAAATGGGGAAATCAAACAGAAAGAAAACAATACCAAAGTCTGTAGTACAGAGAAGTCATGGGTTATTATGAAAACACCTATAAAAGGCATCTGATTCAGACTGAGAAGAAGGTAACCAAATGGTCAGGGAAAACTATCAAGGAGGTGACAGTGAAGTCTTGAAGGACAAGAAAGAGACAAGTTATAGAAGTACAGGAAGGGAAAATGTAAACATGTATTTGTTTATATAAATACATGTAATGATCACGTATATTTAAGTGAAATAGAGAACTGGCAGAAGGGCATAGAGGTAAGCAGGCCTACACATGCTTTATTAAGGAACTTCGTGGCACTTGGCGGAACTAGAAGTTAGGGTCCTAATACCAATAGAGTCCAATTAGATAGACAGGTCAGCCCCTACGAGGAGGGCTGCACATACGAGACTCAGGAGTTCAGGCTACCCCCAAAATGAAACTGGGAGACAGAGAAGGATTTTAAGCCACAGAATAACATAATCAAAGTTAGCAACAATGTGTAAAGCAGGAGTCATAAGAAAAGAGGCTACTATACTATAGTAAGAGACACTCAGGAGATAAAATCACCAACAGATTTGGATGCGAAGGACAGGGGGGTTGAGAAGGAGACTAAAACACAGTGTCTGGGTTTCTTAACCCACAAATACAGCTGTAGGAAACCAAACAAAATGTGTAATGTATATGTACTTAGTCCCTGCTGAATTATCAGTCTTGCTCCCCTCTTTCCTTCCTGTCCCAACAAAACACTTACATAGCAGTTAAAAACTACCTGTTTGAAAAGAATGATACTGAAGTGGAGGGGAAAGGAAAGAAGGAAGCAAGAAAAAAAGTAAGTTACAAGATACCAGAAATTCACATCTATCCAAATTTCTGGTTCAGAAGTAATATGCTACAGCTTAAAAAGGAAACCATAGAGGAAAATATTATTGGTGCTTCAAAACACAAAACTTGAAAATATGAGCATGTTGAATGGTAAAAAAAAAATTCAGGGAAAATATCTGCAAGAGATATAACAAAGGTACTATCCTTTATATCTAAAGTATATAAAGATCAACTAAAATCATGAGATGTACTAATAAATGAGCAAAGATTGTAATCTCACCCCAAAATAAAAATGAGTAATCAAATGGTCTAAAATCTCTCCTTATCATGACTGAAATGCATCTGACCACAACAGTATCTCTATTATTAACCTATGAGATTATCAACTGTTTGCTGCCTCATTGTTCAGGGTAGAGCAGATGAGTAATCTTATATAAGAATACAAGTAGAATATGGTTTTGAGAAAGAAAGATGTGTGGGTGTATCCTTAAATCTTTACAATGATTTATACTCTTTGACAAAATAATTCCACTTCTGAATACTTATCCTAAGGAAATGATCTAAAATACAGATAAAGGTTTACATACACCATTATTTATTGTAGGAAAAAGAATTGAAAATGGCCTAAATGCCTCCCAATGGCTAATATATATGTTATAGGACAGTCATATAAGAAAATATCATGTAGGCACTAAAAAATGATGTTTTAGAATGATTTTAATAACAGGGAAAATCTTATATTTATAAAATGGAAAAATAAATTTTATAAAAGTACACTGAATCTTAAAACAGAACAGAGGGAAGAAACACCACTCCTGAGTATAAACTTCTTTTTCCAAGTTTGTTTTTTAAATAATGGGCAATATTAGCTTTGTATTTAGAAAATAAACCTGACCCATTTCATCTAGCCCCAATATAAGGATGCCTTAGTTTTTTGTTTGGTAAAAACCACTTTAATTTTAAGTCTTCTATAAAGTTAGTCGTCTCTACTCAGTCCATCTTAAACTCACCAAAGCAGTTCTGCACATTGTTGTTGAATGAAAAGGTTTTCTAAGCATCCTAAAGTCAAGGGTAACAAGTACATTGTACTAACAACTTGACTTTAAACAACACAATTCCAGCAGGAAAAAGTTTATAGTAACTAGAGGCATTTTAACACAATTTACCTACTTAGCCACACATGCATTTAAAAACAAACAAGGCCGTGCCTTCCTGTTACCTGAGGTGGCTGAGCAGAGGCTGAAGTCTCTCATCTGACTGCACAGCGGGCAAGGACCTAGCTGTTAACTGAAAACAAAGATGGCAGTTAGTAAACACAGCAAGGGCAAACGCTTAAGAGTTATGAATCTTAAATGCAAAATGGGCGAGAGGAAGCAGACATGGAGGCAAGTACTCAAAATGTAAGGAAATGTTTCTCTTTTTTAAATCAGGAAATTCTACGAGACCAAAGCTAAGTGCATGGCTCTGACGACACTGGGTCTAGAACGTAAGAGAAAAAGGAAGCAAAACAAAAAATAAGCGGGAGTGCCCTTCTACATTCATGAAAAAGTCTCTACTCATTAACATGCTATCTTTGTAAATGAAAATGGAAAAACTTCTAAATGTTAAAACCTTACAGTACTGAATCCTAAGATAATGATGAAACTGAAAAGGGCTTTCACTGATGGCTGTGGTTATACACACACAAGTCCATCATGTCTTTATTTTAACAAGCACATTATTTTAAGAAACCACACACATCTTTTAAGTACTCAAAAGTGACTCAAAGTATTTAATATTCAAATATGACCTCAAAGTGAACCAGGAAGTAAAAAGTGAGGGCCAAAGTCTTTCCGTTAAGTATTATGCATCAAGCCGACAGTATATTGCATAAATATGAAATTCTGATTTATTTTACTACAATAACAGTAATTTCTTTTCTATGGTACTGGGGAATGAACTCAGGAGCTCACACTTGCCAGAAAATGCTCTACCTCTTGAGCCCACCCCCAGCCTGATGTTTCTATTTATCTCCATTTTCTTTTCTGTTCTTAAGAACATGCTCTTATATATGAATTTGTCCCAAAGAACTTAAATCCATTCATCCAAAGCAATCAGATAACTTGAAGTAAACTTAAAACAATAAAAATGAAAAGATAAACATCTTCTGGATTCAATTCTGAATTAAATCAGTATAGTTCTTATAATAACAAATCACTTAATAGTTCACAAAAGAGAACCTTAAGACAAGTAATCCGGGAAGTGGCTGGAAAGGGGGTAGAAGTATGAATATGGTGCAAACACTGTGAACACATGTATGTACGTGCAAAAATGGTATCTGTTGAAACTTTCCCAAAAACGGGAGGAGAGGAAGGGAAGATAAAGGAGAATGATAGAGGGGGTGACTTCAAGCATAATATGTGTGATACATTGTTAAGAACAATTGGAAATGCCACAATGTACTCTCTCCCAGCACAACAATAAAAGAAAAAAAGAAATAAACGTCTTAAACTTGAAGTTCAGGAAAAAAAAAAAAAGACAAGTAACAAAGTGAATGATATCCTTTGGTATTATATAGGGTATCCTTGATCTAATGTTTTCATATATTAAGATTTCCTGAAAATGGAAAACAGACATCCAAAAAATGCAGTATTTATATGTACAAATCAAAACAGAACTATCATTTTTAAATATCTATTATATTTAAGAAATTCACCAAAATGAATTGTTTCACCAGTTGTTTTTATTACATTATATCTAATACTAACAAACTGTTCTAATTCTGTATAAGAGTCAGCACATATCCAATGTTATTAATTTAAAATACCATGCTGCAAGACAATTAGCACACTTCAATTTCAGCACAACAGACTTAGTAGACCTTCAGAAATCTTAAGTCTAGTATTTTATAACATGCTTTCGTGAAGGTTAATTTTTTCAACTTCTTGTGTCAAGCTACACAGGATGATTTCTAAGTAAGAACAACAGGAACGTCTCAGTAACTGTTCATTCCATATAGGAAGTTTTCTCAGCTCTACCCATCCATCTTAGCCTCAGCCTTCACCTCCACTCACGGTTTCTGCCTCCATTCTTGCTTCTTCTCTAACTTATTCCCTACTAAGGGTCAGAGTAAAATTTCCAAATTGAAAGTTAACCTCTCCCCTAATTAAGATTCCCTCAGGCTCTTATGCTAAAGTTATTGTAGTGGTCCTTCACTGAACATTTCTTAAAATTTTCTTTTTTGGACCACATCACTGAAATCTCAGGCACAAAATGACTGAATACAGTGCTTGCAGAATCCACAAGACACAACAGGGGAGCACGAGGTATAAATCTGCCATAGCTACCGCTTCTGGAACACATGTACTCAATGATTTGAGTCCCTCCCCACCTCCAACTTATTTTCTAGTTTGAATCACTAGGAAGAATGATTCCTAAACCAGAGGTCGATGTGCTGAGTAAAAAGTTTTCCAAAGGTCTTGCTTTCAAGTTTTAAAACGATTAGTATTTTCAAAAACAGTACATCGCTTCATGTTAAGGGGATGAGGAAATAAAGCTATTCTGAAACCCTTTAAAGGAGCAAACACATATCCTGATCTCTTGTTGGCAGCCACAGTCTTCATTCCAGAGACTACTTGCTCTACTGTTTCTTTTGAAATTTCTGTCTAAGTTGTTGTAGTCACCACTCAACATCCATTCCACCAGGGTGCCCTGCATCTCTAGTGAAGGCAACATAACAGATACTTGATAAATATTTATTTTAAAAAAGTGTAAAAAATCCAAGAACTTGCGACTGATTCCATTAACTGATGAAAACAAAAGTATGCCTCTATCTACATTTCATAAAGCTTTTCAAATTCCAGCTTTGAGCAAAATTAAGTATAAGTCAAAACCAAACTAAATCACAATTATCAGCCTTTCAAAAAAGCAAGATTTTTACAGTTAGATATTTTAAACCTTGAATGAATACCTATCTAGGTAAAACAGATTTTGGATGCTAACTTTTTTATAGAAAACACACCACCACCCTTGACATGAAAACCATTAAGAATGAAAGAGAAAGAAGATCTCAGTTTACATCTGTAAAATGTGGATGGATTGTTGAGTTATGGTTATTTCATGGGCACCACTATAAAAGTTGGCATAATTCATGACTTCTTAATATTGTTTAGCGGTTAGAATTAAGATATCTTCTCATTTCTAAAACTGTATCTAGTACATAGAATTAGCTAACACAGTTTGTGGTGTTTTTAGACAAGCATAAGAAGTTACTGATTCATAAATAAATCTTATTGTAAACATTGGTATCATTCAGTAAAGCTTGCATTTTGACAGATATTTGGGTTCAAAAAATGTGATTTACCAACTAATCCCCCTCCTTTAATTGCCAATAAATATCACATAGATTCTAAGTAACAAGAAGCAAAAGAAAATCTGGTCCTAGTTGGTCATTTTACACAAGAAGAAATGGCTCGGTGTTGCCATGCATGCACACAGATCTGGCCATGCAGCGTACCAATTCAGAGCCACACATGGAATGTGAGCAGGAAGGAGCCTTTGCCTGGTCCCACAGTGTTTCTGTACCCTCTCAGTCCCTCACCTCTCAAAACTGTACCTTCAAGGTTCACTTCATCCATGGACTTTCAGTCTTGAAGATTACCAAAGTTTTGTATGAAAGGTCCCTTCCCATCATTTGGGATTTGGCAGAAGTGTCATTTCCTAACCAAGGCCTCTCCTAACCGCCCAGGAAAGCAGCACTCTCCCCACCCCAAGGTATTTTATTATTCAGGTATCTCGTAACACTCAACATCACTGAACATTACTTATTTATTAATTTTTTCACTTGTGCCTTCCTCCCCCCACAATAATATAAGCCCTATTGAGGTAGGAATCTGTTCTCTCTTGCCTGCTCTTCCTCCCACTGCTTAGGACAGTGTATGATGTGGTATGAAGTAGGTATGTGCTCCACAACACCACTCTCAAATATTTAAAACAGAGGTTTGAGTTCAGGATGGTCTGCCCCAGCCACTGGTCTTTTGGTCTTAAGTTTCTCATGTCTTCATTAGTGAGTATGACCTATCAATTAGAGATAGGCTGGCTAAGTGGAATGTCTAAACTCCTTTTTTTAAAGGAAGAACAAGTGACACACACTTGAAACTGTGCCTCTCTGGTTCAAAGGAAACAGGTAGCCCAAAACTAACAGTCCAAAATTCAAATTAATGATCTACTATAAATGTAGCATGAGTTTATCTGAGTACAAATAAACTCAAAATATGGGTGTACTACATGGAGGCACTACAAAAAAAAATAACCAGGACACAGTTCTCTCCTTCTAATCTAAATATTTCTGGTTTGGGTGAGAGGGTTTTTGGTCACTAGAAGATGCCTACAAATAAAGCAGAAATATTAACTGAAGATATATTTTTCCAAATATTACTAAAAAGTTTAAATACACAAAGATAAAAGTATTTTATAATGAATACTCATTAAAAAAAAAAAACACCCAAATCTGCCAAGACTGAACCTACTGCAGAACTTCATAGAAAGTGAACAAGGAGCAATAAATAACATTGTGACCACTCAAATTAGACTCCTGAGAACAAGGTTATTGCCAGGTATTGAGGGGGTGGGGGGGAGAGAGGGAGGGGGTGGAGTGGGTGGTAAGGGAGGGGGTGGAGTGGGTGGTAAGGGAGGGGGTGGGGGCAGGGGGGATAAATGACCCAAGCATTGTATGCACATATGAATAATAAAACAATGAAAAAAAGAATAATTTGGGGAATTATGCACTCTAGTAAAGAGGACTTTTTAAAGTTTTAGGGTGGGATGCAATTTTGGCTCCATGTGGGGAAAGCAAGAAGAAATGGGAGTAGGAATGACAGAGGTTTGATTTTATTAGTGATATTCTCTTCCTTTCCTAAGTTGAAGCAAACACAACAATGCCAACCACAGCTTAATTACTGAGGTAAGTGCATGGGTGCATTATGTACTATTCTGCATATGATTCTGTGTGAAACAGTTTGAAAGAGGAAGGGGAAAAGGGAAGAAGGGAAGACAGACTGCTTGTCCAGCAGTATGAGAAATGGCTTGAGGTTGACCAGGTAAGATCACTTGAGAGGAAGGATAACACATGGAATACCTGGAGACGCAAGATGAAGAACCAAATTGGGTCATCAACGACAGTGTGAGAAAGGAAGACACGAGTATAAGAAACATGAACGAGGTATATACCATAGAACCTTTGAGGCACCATAAAGGTAGTGCTAAGAAGGACGTTTGTAACCATGAGTACCTTTGTTAAAAAAAAATCA